TGCATGCCTCCACTGGAGATGCCCTGCGTCTCCGCCAGCATGAGTCTATGTGACATGGGGAACACGTGGCTCTGTTGGCATTGTTCTAGGAAGATGAACATGTGACCCCACCGGGAAGCTGCTTGCTTCCCTCTGTGTGGATGCTATTATATTTCCAGAAGGTTCACAAAGGAGTGATTTATGTCTGTGCAACCACATTCTATGTAACTGTGATAGACTGCAAGTGAGAAGTCACTCGCTGTGCATTCTGTGCCCTACTACGAGGTGCCAGTTCCAATGAAAAAGTGGCCCCATCACAACTGCCAACAGGGACTGTAAACATGACAAAAAATTCCATCTCTTGTTTGGTCCTTGTCCCTGGAATCAGTTATCTCTGTAATGACCAAAGAACCTGGAGCCACAGAGAATCCCAAGTAAAAACATGGAGGTGGCATCCTATGCAGATAAGAGCAGGTCTAACACTGGGAAGCCCCTCCTTATCCAGCCACCAGCAGGTTAATGCCAGGAAGCTGGCACGTGGCACAAAGGCTGGAGCTTCACTGCCCATCAGTGCAGACTCCACGGCAGCTTGGCGAGGTCTGATTTCCAGTCCAGCTGTAGCCCAGGCAGCCCAGGCCTCTCAGCAGGCAGCTCCCGTACTGGAGAGGCCACTAGATCCGGCTGCCAGGGGCTTGGCTTTTAATGAAAGAGCCCTACTCTCTACCACTCACAGCTGGAGGGGCCATCGGGAGGTGTCAGAATTTCAAGAGAGCAGAAATATGTTAGATTCCCTTCTCTCTTTAGGGCGTCATGTAGCCCAGGTTGGCCTCAACACAGAGCCAAAGGTATCCCCGAGCTTCCTGATCCTCCTTGCCTCTACACCTGGGCAAGGTGGTTCTGGGGATCTAAAAACCAAGCCACACTTCAGCCTCAGGTTTCTTCCTGACATACTTATCTACAAACACTTACTGTAAATCGTGAGGATGAACATAATTTAAAAGACTATCCAAGTGTTCAGTGGGACTAAGCCAACTCTGTGCAAAGCTGAGCAGCACAAAAAGAGACAGTTTTTATAGACGAGATCATAAATTCACAGATTAGTGAGAGTTAGTTTTCAACTGACCTGAACAGCTTTTGGAAATTAAACTGTGTGGCCATCAGACCTTTATTTAGAATTAGTGCTAAAGTAAAAAATTATACTGTTCCCAAGTAGAAGCAAACCCTCTGTGGTAAAATATCTTCATCTGTTCTTTGCTATAAAAATACACACTCTACTTTTTACCTGTCTTCCCCTGTAAGCGCACTGGGTTTTAAGGCTCAGGAAGTCATCTTTCAGAATGTACAACTGTCATGACTGGTCTGACATAAGGGTAAGAGGACAAGAATCTTCTAAAAATTTACAAGTGGGAGAGCCATCTGGTGTGTTATTTTGTCCCATTTCCTCCAACTATTGAAACAAGATTGGCCTGGCACGCTGCCCCTCCTGGTGATTTTGAGAGTGTCCAGCGAGAAAAAAACACACATTCTTGAGCAGACAGGGGACCTGATGATGACCCAGCAGTAATGTCTGAAAAACTATGCTTAACTGGAGCTGTTGGAAAATATTATCTGACCCCTTCTTGAGACAAAATCACTTCATTTTTTTTTTAAAGTTGAAAAGGAATCAAGCATCTAAGACCATTTTTAGCTGGCTGTTCATCTGGCTTTTCTCCTCCAATCTTACACTTTAAAAAATACCTTCAAAGCAATGTTGGCGTTTTCCTATATTTGCTCATAATAAAAACCAACGAAATTTCTGTGTCTGAAGTGGTGAGTTTTACAAAATCTTCAACATGAGGGAGAGACGTATCTTACAGAATCATTTGGATCGTAAGGCAATCAAGGAGGGTGGAATTTTCCTGTCGTAAATCTAACGAGTGAATTCTGTAACATGATCGTTCTCCATGAATCTGAGAGCGGGTTGGCTACAGCAGTGTCATGCTATGCTGTCATCATTGCTGCACTTGGAGGAGAGCCGACTGAAGGAAAAAGGAACAAATTTGGTGCCTGCACCAACGTAGAATTTGTTCTGAAACTCTACCCTAGGAAAGGAAAAATAACATGTATTAGAACACTAATACCTCCCACCACAGACTGCACCCTGGCACTGTGAGTGCAGGGCTGTTCCCGTACTTAGACCTTTCCATGCTCTTTGCATTCTCTGCATAAACACATTCACCTGATCACTCTCTCCCCAGTCCACATCCATCCTGTCTTGCCAGTGTGTCACTTCAGCAATGTCCTGCAGTCCCTGTGTGTGTCAGGAAGTCTAGCACACACAGTGATTTGCATGTGTACATGTGTATGGGAGGATGTGCAAGCTACAGTGTACATGTGAATGTGAGATGACAATCACTGGACATCAGTTCTCTCACTCAACCATGTGGGTCCTAGGGCATTACCAACTGAGACATCTTGCCAGCTCCTGCACCCTTTTTAAGAAGATTTATTGGGCTGGAGAGGTGGCTCAGGGGTTAAGAGCACTGGCTACTCTTCCAAAGGTCCTGAGTTCAATTCCCAGCAACCACATGGTGGCTCACAGCCATCTAGTGTGAGATCTGGCACCCTCTTCTGGAGTACAGGTGTCCAGGCAGTCAGAGCACTGTATACGTAATAAATAAGATTAAAGCATGTGTCTTGTATATATGTACATGAGTGCAAGTGACGGACTGGATCCCCTAAAGCTGGAGTTACAGGAGGTTGTAAGGCTCCTGCTGTGGGTGCTGGGAACTGAACTTGGGTCCTACAAGCACAGCACATACTCTTAACCACTAAGCCCCTCGTTTTTATTTTTAAAATACTGTTTTGAGGACACTGCCACACTCACCAGTGAAGGCGTATGGCGTGGAGAAATGCAGAAAGCCCTTCCATGATCAGAAGAATAAAAATGGTCAAAACTGCAAAGAACGCTGTGACAGGCAGCAGCAGCAAGACTCCATAGGTGCTGTCCACACGCAGGCCCACACGTAACAGCATGGACCACAGCACATCAGAGAGCTCTGCAGAGGAAGCCATTTGGAAAACATAAGCCCTCTCACCACCCAAATGACAGCGAGAATGACAGTCTATGCCTCCTCATCAGAGGCCCAGAAACCTTCAGGCCTTCCTCTGTAGAAAATCCTTGTAGAAATCCTACAAGGCTCTGCCATGCCCTCTTGTTGTCTAACTCAGGGCCCAGGCCAGGATCAAGCATCCTGTCTGATCCTTGAAAGTGACCTGTTGGAAGTCTAGGTCTGTGGACACAAAGGCCTGGCTCTCTGTCCTCTATTGGTCAGTGCCCTCTTGTGATTACCGATCTCTGTCAGGTGTGGCAGGGCTTTGCCACAGAATAGCAAGGCAATACAACTGAGTGTTCTGCTGTGTGAAGTGAGTCAGTCAGCAGCCAGTGACCTCCAGGCTGGAGAAGTGACATGGCTTCTCATTATAATGCACAGGGAGCCCAAGGACTAAACACACCCCATGCAGGAGGGTGTCACACAGAGGCCACAGCTAAGGCCCTGTGGAGGACAGGCGGTGATGGGAGATCAGGGCTATCTAACTCAGTTGTGTATTAGCAGAACCTTGCACATGAGGACTGGCAGGAGCCTGAACTACAGCATAGCAGCTGCCATACTTGCTGGAAATACATATTCCATTCAGTGAGTAAAACAATGGCTAAGACGCATTCAGGAACATGATATAGAGGAGAGCATCATGCCAGAGGTCATTGGGCCCTCAGTTCCCAGAGCCCCTCTGTGCCTAGACCAGGACTGCAACCTGTGTGACCGACAACGAACAGCTCTTGTCCATCACCAACCACCTGAGGAGCTTACACACTCCATGGGGCTAAGCAACATACGTGAATGTGCCAGGCTGAGGGCCCAGAGCCGCAGGTAGGACGCAGTGTTGGAGATGCAGCCCAGGCAGTACTCGATGGAATGGATGGCCTGCGTCATCAGGATCTCCCCAAAGTTAAACTGAGGGTCAACAGAACATTAGACACCGTATCACAAACTGCTCCACTGGGAGTCCCTGGCTGGCCTCTGGGACAGAGCAGAGCAGAGCAGAGCGTGCTGGGAGCTAAAAACAGCAGGTGCAAGCTACGAGTCCAGCGCTCGGTGGGATTATGGGGTTCACCAACCTATCTCCCCAACTCTGCTCAAGCTCCAGTTTCCTCTGTAACACAAACATCAGCCTAGAACTGTGATTGCCATGAGGGGCACATGGTTAGTGACTGAGATGACATCTGAGCTAGCCTCAGACACTACCCAGCATCCAAATGGGCATTTTCCAGACACAGGCACTCTGGGGAACTAATGCTGAGGCTGAGGACAAGTGTAGGAGGTGTCTCTGTGAGCACAGACTGCAGGACCCTGGTTCTTCCGCACTCCGACTCCTCTGCTCTACCAACTTGTGATTTGACTGCTTGGCCTGAATTAAAACTCTATTATACAGTGATGACCAAAGAACCATAGGGAATTCAGGTAGTCCTCATTAAGCAGCCAATGGAAAGCTTCCTCCCTCACCCGGCCTATCAGCTCAGAGCTCACCTCCTCGCATGTCACTTCCCGGCAACCTTCGTCCATGCAGTTGCTCCCCTCTTCTATGTCCTGGCTGCCCAGCAAGGAAACCTCTTCTTCACTGTCCTTCCTCACAAGTGTGTAACCGCTCTAATGAGAATAGAACACTGTCAGCGCTTGGAATGCCACAGGGTTGGGACAAAACCCAAGTAACTGCTTCTCTTATGATGCAGCTCTCTGGGAATAAGAAAACCGTCTCCAAGAAAATGCACACCTCATATATTTTAGATTGCCAAGGAGCACTGGAGAGAATTGGAGAATAACAAGTGTTGGCAAGGATGGTAAGGGGGACCTAGTGCAGTCCTGCTGGGAATGTAAAATATTCCAGCTGCCTCAGAAAAAGGATGGCAAGTCCTCCAAAAAACGCAAACACAGAACTGCCCTGTGACCCAACACACACTCATACAGATTTTAAGCGGGGACTTGCTTTGGCATCGCATAATAAGATATTAGAACCATACAGAAAAGATTAGCATGGTCCCTTCGAAAGAATTATACATAAACACCCAAGAGAGTCTGAAAATGCCTGTGCATGCATGTCACAGCAGTATTGCTGCTCAAGCTGCAGCCAGCAGCAGCATCGAGGCTCTACATAACGCCAGCTTTGGAGGAAGCAAACCTCGGGGCATGGGGGCGCACTTTACCCGGCTCACGCCGAAGCAGCTGCGTCCGTTGTGCAGCCACAGCAGAAAGAGCGGCTTCCCCAAGAAGAGCACGGGGACAGCCAGCACGGTGAGGGCCAGCAACACTCTCTGGACTTGTGCCTGTTGGTGCAAGGGAGAAGTTCGTGGAGACGAAAGGTACCAGTCACTGGGTGTGAAGCAGACGGGGAAGGGGAGGTGCTGCGGCTCTGGGCCAGGGGCACGAGACATGATTGTCAAATCTCCATGGCCAAGGGCCACCCTTCCCTGACTCAACATTCAGGGAAGAGCATTGAAATATTAATTTTAGAGCTGTAAAAAACTTTAGAGAAATTCTAAATAAAGGCTTGGGGAACTGACACAGGCTGGACTTAGTTAGATGCTAGGCCTCACTTACAAAGCCCTCTGTGGCTATGCAGGCTTGTGACCCAGTGCTAGGGAAGCAGGGGCAAGAAGGCCTAAGGCTCGCTAGCTGGCATAATAGGTAGCCCACTATGGCAATTCCAGGGCCAGGGAGAGACCATCACACACACACATATACATACACCGACAACAAAGGAGAGGTGGATAGCACATGAGGAATGACATTCAAAGTTGACCTCTGGCCTGCAGATACAGGTACCCAAACACACTCATACAGATTTTAAGCGGGGACTTGCTTTGGCATCACATAATAAAATATTAGAACCACACAGTAAAGATTAGCATGGTCTCTTTGAAAGACCATTATACATAAATCTGTAAAGTGTTCCTTTATTTAAATAAATAAATAAATAAAGCTAAGCTGGGCAGTGGTGGCACATGCCTTTGATCCCAGCCCTTGGGAGGCAGAGGCAGGCGGATCACTGTGAGTTCAAGGCCTGCCTGGTCTACAGAGTGAGTCCAGAAAAACCAGAGCAACACAGAGAAACCCTGTCTGGAAAAAACAAAACGAAACAAAACAAAAAAACAAACCCAAACCTACATGGAATCTAACTCCAGATAATAATACTCTGAGAACACTGCCAAAAGGAAACAGAGAAACGCAAGTAGAATACTTTTCTTATTGCTGGGTTTGGCTTATTGCTTCCTGTCACACGCTTCTTGGAGAATGCCAATGCGGAGAAGCACTCACCTGCCCTGGGTAGAAGCTGTGAGTCTCACTGGATGGGAACAGGAACATGTTAATGAACTCGATCAGGATGCTGGGGGCCTCTTGAGAGGTCTTTGCCGAGTACGCCAGCCACTTGTAGATGATCATGAAGATCAGGTACCCAAAGATGCAGAGCATGAACAGGATCTCAGGGACCGAGACCAGGTAGATGTTGAACTTCTTCCTGAAGTGCCTGTAAGAGGAGCGAGTGAGGCAGCTGGAAGGCTGTGTTGCTACAGTGCACGGGCCAATTCGGGGTTCCACACGTGTGTCTGCAGAGCCAGAGCTGCAGATCCATCCACAAAGGAAAGAGACAGACAAGAGGGAGAACTCCTGACACACATATAAACACAGGTTACTTCTGGGTCTGGCTTCAAAAGTAGCAGTTTTTTAAAATATTAAACCAAACTTTTTAAATGAAATAATTTTTAAAAATTTATTTACTTTTATGTGTATGGTGGTTTTGCTTGGTTATATGGCTACGGACCATGTACATGCCTGCTGCCCACAGAGGCCAGAAGAGGGTATACGCTTCTTGGGAACTGGAGCCGTAGCCAGTTGTGGGCTACCATGTGGGCACTCAGGACCAAACCCAGGTCCTCTGGAGGAGCAACAAGTGCTCTTAACCATTGAGCTGGCTCACTAGTCCCCAATTTTTAAAGTTATTTTTAATTATGTGTAAGTATGTGTGTGCCCACATGGTACCAGGGCCAGAGGCATCAAATCTCCCTGGAGCTGCAGTTGCAGGCAAGTGTGAGCTACCCGCCAGCACACTGAGACCAGAACTCAGGGCAGTCCTCTAGAAGAGCAGACACACACTGCCTAGCCCTCTCTGCAGCTCAGAGCACTCACCACTTTCCTTCCTTCCTTCCTTCCTTCCTTCCTTCCTTCCTTCCTTCCTTCCTCCCCCCCCCCCCCCCAAGACAGGGTTTCTCTGTGTATCCCTGGCTGTCCTGAACTCATTCTGTAGACCAGGCTGGCCTCAAACTCAGATATCCACCTGCCTCTGCCTCCCAATTGCTAGGATTAAAGACATATTGCCACCACAACTCAGTGAACAATTTTTTCCATGTCCCAGCTCTGTCAACCAAGTTACATGATGCAAATCATCCTTCATGAAAAGTGACAGTCAATATAGAGAGGAAATCTATCAAGGTGCTAGCTCTTGCATAAAACAAAAAAGATAGCTTTCAACTTTAGAGTGACAACCAAAAACATGACAAAATTCCCTTCTGGCAATAACCCTGCATTCATGTCACACTGGGATGGGAAGTCCAGGAGGGCAGAGGCCTCGCTCCACTCTCTGCGGAAGTGCTGTGCCCAGAGCAGCATCAAGCACACAGCATGCACTGAATGGACATCACTGACCCCCAAGTTCCCAAGCCAAATAATCTAAAGAGTCCCATCCTGCCATGCACCATCAATCAGCTCAACTGCCCTTGGTCCAGCCAATAGTCCAGCATCAAGAAATAAGACTCAGGGGCCGGAGAGGTGGCTCAGTGGTTGGGAGCACTGGCCATTCTTCACGAGAACCCAGATTTAATTCCCAGCACCCACATGGTGGTTCACAACCATCTGTAACTGTAGTTTCAGGGTCTATATGCCCTCTTTGGTCTCCACAGACACCAGACACTCACGCTGTGCCCAGACATACATGCAGTTCAAACATCCACAATAAATAAAATAAAACATAAAGGGCTAGCGAGATGGCTCAGCAGATAAAGACAATTGCCACCATGCCTGACAACCTGAGTTCATTCCCCAGAAGCCACATGGTAGAAAATGGGAAAACTCTCCCACAAACTGTCCTCTGACAATCACATGGTCACATGAGTGTGCCTGCACACACACGTGCCATACATATATACATTGGGGTGGGGTGTGGAGAGACAGCTCAGTGTAAGAGCATTTGCTGCCAAGCCTGATAGCCTGAGTTCAGTCCCCAGGATCCACACATGGTAGAAGGAGAGAACCAGCCTCAAAAGTTGGCCCCTGACCTCCACACACGTCCTGTGATATGCACCATCTGCCCCCTCACCAAATATAGAAATATGTGAGTAAATAAGTATAAAACAAGACCCAAGAGTGACAAAATTGGTTTACAAGTACAGATTTCAGAACTTCTAAGGCAGACACACTGGCTCACGCCTGTAATCCCAACTCTTGGTGAGTGGAGTAGGGACCACCCTAAGTGGAGGGCAGCCAAAAACATGAAAGATGAAAAACAAATTAAAACATGGACTTACAAGTGGTTAAATATTCCCAGAATGACACCAAAAGTCATGTGAATAATTCCTAAAATCACAGACATTTTCATCTTGAAGGAATTGAGGAAAGTGAGGCGATTTGTGGCCATGTTCCAAATCTAAGGAGCAAACCAAACAGAAGCAATTTAAGTGCCATTGGCAGCGCTGGAGAGCTCTGAGGGATGGGCTGCTCTCATTTACAGAGGAAGGACCGCCTGTTTCTTGATGCTTTCCTGACTTCCCCAGGCCTGGGCCTGGGTGTCAAGAGCAGGGAGCTTGCCTCTGATGAGCCAGCACAGCAAGGCCTGGCTGCAGAGTGAGGCAGCTTAGCATGCTGGGAAAGCTAGTCACCTTTGGATCAGGTTCAGACTACAGACTTAATGTAAGTATCACATGACAGCCCTGTGATGGAAGTTTGGGTTTAAAAACTCAGCTCTGTTATGTAAAAATGTTTTTGTTTTAATCCCAAATGTGGGATTTTAGTTTATCCACAGCTGAAATTTGCCTTATGCAGGGGTGTGGTCTTTAATGACTTTGAGCCCAGAAAGAGAAGGTCCAGTGGCTTGGAGGAGATGGGAGGGAGGACTGCCTGCTGCATTTGCTGTATGGCTGGTCACCTGGACTGATAGATATCCTGACAACTGAGATTGGTATTGTCCCAAAAAGAACCCAATGGCCCTACCCAGCCAGAAGTAAAGAGGTCTACATCCACTCTCCCCACTAACCTTTCTCTCCTACCTGGGAGAGAAGGGATGGGGGTGGAGAAGGGAGGCAGAGGCTTTAAGGAACCCCTACATAAAGTAGAGTTTAAGAAACTAGCACCTATATACCCCTGGACAGGACTGAGGACACTTGAGAGTGCGGATCTGAGAGCCCCGAGCAGCCTCACCCACACCTTCCAGCCAGCTCAGCAGTGCCGAGCTCCACTTTCAGGACAGCTCCCCAGAAAGCCTTCAAGGCACTTGTCCAAAAGCTTGGCCCACAGGGATCTGCCTGCTGAACACGGGATAGGAGGAGCCTGGCAGCCTGGGGCCTTCTCTAAACCAAAGACAATATACAAACAATGAAGCCGTTCCAGAGCCTGCATGGAGCCCACGAAGGGTCACTTCTCCCAGAGGAGATGACCAGGAGATCTGAGCACAGCCCCATGGCTCTGCACTGACCCACCTCCCCAGGTGGCAAGCTGCCTGCCTCACTGACTACACTTAAGAGAGGGGCAGCAGCATGCCAGTACCTCCCCTTACCCACAGACCCAGGCAAAGCAGCACTCACGGGGTCAATGCCGAAAGGGTAGGGGCCATGGAAAACTCCGGGGATGTTTGGGTCCAGCTGCAAAGTCCTGCTGTGCCTGACGGTGCTGTCACTGAAAGACAGGGCAGAGCAAGGTGGCCACGTGGGGAGGGCGGGGCTTGGGGAAGGTGGAGCCCCACGTTCGGCATCCTAGCTCACAGGCCACTTACTTCCAAAGCACCATCTTCTTCTGCTCCTCTGGAGAGCAGCTGGAGCTGT